TTTTAAAAAGCAATTAGCAAAGTTGGGTTGTGATACTGAGAGGCTGGCGTGCTGTGGAGCACGCAGCTAGTGCTAGCAAAGGAAGAAAGAGTCCCTGGTACATTTTCGTTATATGGACAATCAACTTGCAAATGCCACCTTTTCCCCTTGTATTTTTTTCTGCTAAGTAACTTCTAGGCACTGTAAGTGTCCAGGTGAATGGAAGTATCTGGTAAGTCATCACTGAAATCTATATGGTGGGTCTATTCCAATGACACGATGATTCATCTTTTCACGGTTTCTAAACTGTTTGTTGGTACATGTTAGTCTCAGTTTCCAACAGATGGAGGCACTTGCAGCAGAAAGCAAGCAAGAAATGAAGGCATTTAGTATTATTTCAACTCACTGAGATGAAAAATTTTTGTGGAAAACTGTTTGGCTTTTCCTTGCATGGAAGGCTGAAGGTGGGAGTGATGTGAAACCCTCAGAGGAATCATCCCTCCCCAGCCTGACACGTGCAGAGCCTTCCTCGCTTCTGTCACGGGACGGGCAATGCCAGCTCCTTGCGGGCTCTGCCAAGTCTCCTCCCAGAAGCTGCTCTGGGAGTCCAAGGTCTGTGGGCAAAGGTTGGACGGGGCAGGGGAAAGGATAAGCCGATCAGGTGCACTTCGCACCATCAGTCCTTGGGGATTCCCTAAAACAGACCTCAGGCTGGGCGAGGTTTCCTTCAGAACAACTATAGGCCATGGGCTTTCTTTGAACCTTACAAGTGAGACGGGATCACTTCAGATCAGGGTCTGAGGGTGTCCTTAACTGTGGCTGACCTACAGCGTACCCACCCCCCTCTCCCCCTTAGCTTTGCCAGGAGGCAAAAGAAAATTTCCATTCCTAAAAAGGTACTTCTTGGGCCAGCAGCCTTTTAAGCTCCTTCTCAAATCCTGCTCAGCAATATTATTCTCTCTCTCTCCGCTCCTCAGCATCCTGCCCTTTGATATAAGGATGCCAAAAAAGTATTTGGGAAAACCACATATCTAATACGGGATAATCACATTTAATGCCCAGCTTAACCTTGGACATCTCAGGCCCACTGGGGCTAAATCCATGTAGCCTTTCCCTTTTGCGCCATTTTCAGGCACCTGGTCCATTAGTGAATTTTTTAGAGCTATGTAGGTTAAAACAATTCAATGAGAAAACAGAAAGAAGCAGTCAAAAGACGAAAAACCTAATTTTTCAGCAGATGTACACAGTAGGTCAAATGGCCTAAGGGAAATATTTAATTTAAGAGTCATACTATTTCTACCAAGTTTCCTAACCAAAAGTATTTTCATCAGGAGCACTACTCTTGATCTGGTTACTGCTAATGATTTTCCCCATGGACTTAGCTCATAAAAACATAAATTGCTTTATGAATCATAGAATCATAGAAGTTGGAGAAGAAAATGATGGGTTAGGTCATCTTGCCCTTCTCCCTGACAGTGCAGTATTATTTCTTTTTATAAAAAAATTTGAAAATAAGCATTTATTCAGAGCTGGAGAATGAAAATGCTAAGTTCAAAAGAGATTTTAAAAATACATAATGAAAGCAGTGGAGGAAGAGCCAGATTCTGAAGTACCTTGGCTCTCTCTACAAGCCATGACAATTTGATGAGAAGTATCGTCTGGACAGGCACAGCCAGAAATTCAACAGCAAAAAAAAAGGACAATGGTATCAGTCCTGCACATGAGTAATTATCACAGTTGTAAATGTAATTCTGGTAGTTACGTAGGCAAATATGCTGCTAGGCAAAGACCTGGCCATCACAGTGATCACGACCAAATGCGCAATGGGACATGCAAGAACCCAAAGTCTGCAGACCTTTGTGCAGAGTGAAGGTGGCATGTGTGATAATACACACAGTGTTATCATCACCTATTGTGACATCTCCACACATCCCAGTGAGCGAAAAAATCTGTGCTTTGCATATTTGCTTTTGGAACCTTTGGTTTGAATATTTTTCTGTCTTTCAAAAATGGCTTCTAATCCTGCTTTGTATTACTTTTTGAAGTTTTTTCCCCAAGTGTGCTCAGGTGAAGAGAAAACACCCACTTTGAGAACCCGTCTAATTCTGGCTCAGAAACTTTTGATCCAACATTCTCTGAAGACAAAAGAAAATGTTTCTGTTATTTCTTAAGTTAATCAATCTGAAAGGTTTTTTTAAAAAGGAATTTTTGTGTCCTGTAAAGTTCACTAAAAATCATCCTGGTGTGAAGTTCTGACTTTTGTCTCAGATGGCCTCCATCCTTAGAAATGGCCCCTTACCTTGCAGCATTTTTCACAGAGAATGCAGGCACTCGCTAGAATTCAGACTGTCTGAGAACCGTTATAAAGTAAATGAATCAAAAACTGTTGCTGGAGTTGGTTTTGGACTTCAGCATGTTTTTTCTAGATCTTTGTAAGACAGCATTATCTAATTTTGTTCCCATTACTGTCTTCCGTGGATTTCTTTCTAATTGGGACATCTTAGAAAATACATCTCAGTATTTCTATAATTCCTTTAGCTTGAGCGAGCGAGTCATGGATCTGTAAGCATGAACATTCCCAAATATCAATTACTGAAACTAGAAACACTGTAATCTAGCAGTTTGTATTTTGATTGTAATCTCAATACAAGAAGGCAGATATAATTTTAAATCCCTTCAGTACACAGCATGCATGTTTTGAGAAGTCTAACCGCAACTCTTGCACGTGAGATTGCGCAGGTGGCAGCTTTGCAATCTATTTTTGTACAGGCTACACATGTAACTAACCGATCTAATTGAACCAATGCAAAATAGGCTACACCCACCGAGTGAGAGTACAGAAAAATAAATGTATACCCTAAACCCATCAGAACTGTCTCAGAGTGGAGAATGCACTGGCTACCACTTCTTTTTTCCTTCACAGCCCGCGGTGTATTTCTTCAGGCCAATCTGTATCTCAGTCAAATGTATAAAGAGGAGCTATCAGACTGACGGCAACAGCCACTGTGATTCAGAAACCCTTGGTGAGAAGTCAAACTGAAGGACTTTGCAGCCCACTGACAAATGAAGGGAGCATAATCCCTTCTATGCTGTGTCACAAATGACTTAGCGATAAAAGGAGCTGCGCGTTCCTCCTGGGCGGGGGTCTGACCTCTTCTCCTGACACGCATAACGCCTCCACTATGCAGCTGATTTACCTATGACAAAGTGAAGTTATTTACAAGGAAGCTTTTACATACATTTGAGTTGGGAAGATACGTATGTTGCTTCAGTATGTATTATATCTCTACTTCCTTTTTAAAATGTAGAATCTCATTAAATATTAACTATTATACCAACTGAAGAATTGATTTAAAACAGTAGTATGCCTGCAGGATGATTTTGTTTCTTACCGTTCCTGCAAACTCATATTCAAAAAACTAAAGCTTATTTGTTGTCAGCAAACTATGAACAAGCCCAGGTAATTGCATATGCAAATCAGGAACTTACATATACAAATTTATTTTTTTATGTGCACAGCTGCCTGGTTCACCAGGGGTATTTTTCAGGGACAATTCAACCACAATTTTCAAAAAACATAAATACAAACTAAATAAGAATTCTTACCCTGACAGCAGTATTTGTTTTAAAGTCTGGCCTCAAATACAAAAAAATATAGGTCGGATTTTTCCATAAAATGAATGCAGCATCATTATGCAACTCAGACAAATGAAAGCTCGCGAAGAAAACGTACAGGCAAGACATGAGTTTTCTAAACTACTTCAGTTGAAGTTTCAAATCTTTTCTTCTTTTCTTTTCTTTTCTTTTCTTTTCTTTTCTTTTCTTTTCTTTTCTTTTCTTTTCTTTTCTTTTCTTTTCTTTTCTTTTCTTTTCTTTTCTTTCTTTTCTTTTCTTTTCTTTTCTTTTCTTCTCTTTTCTTTTCTTCTCTTTTCTTCTCTTTTCTTTTCCTCTTTTCTTTTCTTTTCTTTTCTTTTCTTTTCTTTTCTTTTCTTTTCTTTTCTTTTCTTTTCTTTTCTTTTCTTTTCTTTTCTTTTCTTTTCTTTCTCTCTCCCCCCCCCCTCAGTTAAGCAACCCTGAGCTACAAGTCTCATTCTCTAGTGGGTGTTTGAATTCTGCTGCTCTCTTCTCCTGGGATGATTCCACTTAAGCAACAGCCAGAACTTCTGCCAAGCATGCAGGAGGATTGCAAGAAACTAACCACAAACCTCAATTTCCACCAGGGCATTTCGATAAAAATATGAAAATGCCCAATTCAGGCTAGTGACTGAGGTTAACGACTGCCTCTGGTAACAGGCAGCATATGTGCTGCAGAAGCATCTATACCTGCGGATCTCCTTTGCCCGCACTTCACTTCACCCCCCCCAAAAACAGCCCGCCCTCACCAACTGAACAAAACAACCGCCTGTGTGAAAGGTGCAGGTATTCCCCTCGAGATATCAAACCATTCATCTCCTCCTTGTACTTAAGTCTTAAAAAAAGAAGGGGGAAAAAAAAAGAGGAAAGATTGGCTGTCTGTGAAAATGGGTGCTCCTAAGCTATACAACGGCATGAAGTACAGTGAACTCCACAAGGCAGCAACCAGGTGTCCTCTCTTTGGCATTTATTTATTTTTGCAAGGTGGCTGAGCTTGAAAAGTTAGATCAATGACATATATTGGTTTCCAATGCTTTAAAGCTCTCTTAACATCTGAAAGGCAAGGCTAGCAAGAAATGATGCATAAGGTATACGCTGCCCACCTTTTACCAGCATCCCTGCTGTCAGCTTTTGGGTATGATCCAAGTCATCCCTAGGTAGATACTTTAGAAATGCAATGCAAGTCATATTCTAGATCAGCTGGACACCCATGAAAAATAAGGCTTCGGGAAGGCATAATTAAAACCATTCATAGGACAGCCTTGGCTTAAAAGACACCCACTGCTCCACATGCATTGGGTATTGCTGCATTTCATGAGGCTGGTGATGAACCCCTATACTAAACCGTCAACTTGGCCTTCTGCAAATGCTGTCATCGGCTCACTTACTTCTGGGTTCGCGAGGTCCGTCCACTGTTATCTTGATGGCTCTGTGGTATGTGGCTACTTGTGGCGGATTTGTGAAGACCGTGATAGTCAGTGTGAAGCTTTTCCCTGCAAGAGTAAAAAAAGTTACTAAGCATATGTGTTGAGAAAAGGCGGACTCCTCATTTCAGCTAGCATTAGAACACACCAAATGGCACTAAAACGCTTGAGCTGTCCGTATCTAAAGACAGATATGTGCCTAGGCAGCGGGGCGTATAATTTCACAACTGCCAGGTGCTGGATGCATTCCCTCCGTGGCAACTGCTCAAAGCGTTTGGAAAAAAAAAAATTAATTTCTATTTAAATGATCTACACTTTGTAAAAAAATGAGGTTACCCCAACAGTTGGAGTTTATCTGATCTACATGACTGCTGGTACATTATCTGTACTTTCTAAAGGGTGCTAGTTCAGAGAGGCTTAGAAATTGTGACTGACTCTTCCAAAACTGCCACGGGAATCTGATCAACAGTGCTTGTTAAAATTAAAGGGTGCTCAGATCCCCTAGGCAGCTCGTAAAATCCCATGCTTTGTGGTTGAAGCTAGCATTAGATCAATTCCATATTGTGAACCAGAGCCCTTTAAAAATAATCTGCTACTGCAATGCCAAGAAACAAGGGAATGGAAAAAATAATAAAAAAAACCCCCTACAACTCGTCCACAGAGAATTAAAACATTTTATGAAGACAGAGCAGAGTTTTATGCTTAGTTTCTCTATTATTCAGTAAGAAAACTGTGAAGGCCTTTTCAAAATCGTTATGTGCATGGCACAGCTCTGAACTGTGAAAAGTACTCATTTTGATGGCTGCCGGGGAGCGTCTCATATCCCCTTGTAACTGCAAGCCTTCAGATCCTGCTGCCTCTGGATTTGCTTTTGGTCAATGCCAGCATTTACTCTAGGCATTTTTTAAATAACAAAAGGAACTTTCTGCATCTTTGATAAGACCTCATATATACATTCATTATGGCTTTGGCCTGGACAACAGTAAAAACGTTGCCTGTCAGCAGGTTTAGCATAGTTATCTCAGCATCATGGAGGACTCAGATACTGACAGGAATCTCCGTTATCAGTAAGAGACATCAAGGGACATCACCTCAAGTTAGATAACCAGGAACTGTTGTAAGAAAATTGAGGTTCTCCTTCTTCGGGCACATGCTGCGCGAGCTTTCCCATACAGCCCTGTCTGCTTTATTTTACCACTTGGCTCCAGCCCTCCTGAGTGCTAAGTCTCTTCCCTTCTAAGACTTCCCATTTTTATTGTTTCCTTCATTTATCTATGTAAATAAATATAAATTTAAATATAAATGTAAATATAAATGCCTGCCACTAGCAGCAATATTTCCCCCGCCCCGCCATGCACATTCACTTGCAATTCAATACTTCTCTTAATGCAGTTCCTACTTTGGTGCTAATGGTCTGCATCAACATCACGGCGAGCACACACACATAGCAGTTACTGGAAACTGTCCTCATCACATCCCTGTGAATTAGGGAGGTATTCTCCCCACTCTGCAGATGAGGAACTGTGGGGAGATAAAGTGTCTTGGACAAGATCTCACAGGAAGCCTGTGGCCAGCGATGCTAACCACTTTGGCTGCTGCAAACAAATCCGACTGTAATCCTGAATCACAGCCCTGACAAAACAGAAGCTGAAACACAAGCGTCGCAAATCCCAGGCCACTGTCTTCCCACCTCCACGTCCTCACTAGGAAGCAGTCCCTGAGATCGAAAGAATTACAACAGAAGGAAAAGTAATTTCAGATCCCTGTCCTGGGGCCTTTGGCCCTCAACTCTTGGTTCCTACATCTACCCAGACCAAAGATTGCTGTGTTCTTGGCATTCTTTAAATACCAAATTACATGATAAAGCTTTACAGCGTTGTTACTCTCTCTCAGTCAGCACAACAAATCTTTCTATTAGGCATCAGTAATAAAGTTCAATCATAGAATCATAGAATCATAGAATGGTTTGGGTTGGAAGGGACCTTAAAGATCATCTAGTTCCAACCCCCCTGCCATGGGCAGGGACACCCTCCACTAGACCACGTTGCCCAAAGCCTCATCAATAAACTTCCTTCCAAAAAATTTTTATCACCCATAGCATTAGACTTAACAAATACCAGAGGCTCCTGTAGATCTTCCTTCTTTCCAAAAGTAGTTTCCCTGTATCATTATATACACCTCCTAGATCACTAAGGCTGAAAGAGACTTTGAAAATATACTTATTTTCTTTAATAACCTGTAGTATGTCCATCTTGCTTCACATCGGGGGGGGGGGGGGAAAACCGCTGATGGATTTGGTACCCTTCGGGGGGGGGGGTGAAAACTGCTGATGCATTAGGTAAGGTGCTCCTGCTGTTCTGCTAGAATACATACTCGATTTATTTCTTTAGAATGCTCTTGTGGATTTTCCAGTTAGAAAAGAAACGCAGAAAAAAAAATTTATAACAACAGTGAAATGTAGTAAAATGTGGCCACATTGCCAGTCTACAAGACCAGAATAAAGAAGAGGGTGGTAAAGTTGCTTTCAAGATTTTCTACAGAACGGGGTAGATCTCAGAACCTATTTAAGGTTGTGACACAAGTTGGCAAAAGCAGGAAGATACTTAGCTTACTTCTTGTTGACAGAAGACTATTCATTAACCACATACTGGTTAACCACAAGACTATATAACCATAAACCTACGTGTCACTCATTGCTGCTTACCAATAATTCTGGCTGTGTTTTTTCTCTGGTTATTCTGTTTCATTTACATTTAGCTTTATTAAGTGGTTTTATCACTTTTATTCATAGCTTCTACATTATTCATCATTTATGTGTCTGGTTGACAAAGGTAGATTTAGATTGGAGGTACTGTTAGTGAAATCTGTGTTTTATGGATATACCTGTTTTGGGATGACAGCGGGACTATAAACATCTCCTTTCTTTTATGTATTATGATACAGTTTTTTATTTTCAGTATACACTTGCTTAATACACTTACACACAAGCGCGCGCGCACACACACACACACACATACGTATGCAACATGCAACAGACTGCACTGGCGGAAGTAATACCAGATTAGACAGTGGAGGCTGTATTCAGGCTCCCTAGCACTGGAGCCTATATCAGGTGCCGTGATTTCTGATGCCTGAGAAAGTGGATCTCCTAACCGTCGGTAGAAGACCTACACTGAGCACTTAGTGTCTCTGCTCAGCTCCGAAAGGGGTGGGTGCCACCAAAACTGAGTCAGACAGCCTGTGTGAAGGACTGACCTCTCTAGTGACTGTAAATAGGCACCAAGGAACTCAAGAACGCGTTCTGAAACACTGGCCTGCTTTGGATGCCTCAGATAGTCATGATGACAATTTGATGACATCCCAGCAGTCACAGCAAGCCAGCGTGTAGCCCTCCATTGGCTGACATCAAAATCTGAGACCCTCTGGGTTAAGCAGTCCCATAAATCTACAGAAAACCATACACAAATTAGCTCGGGTCTATGATGCGTGACTCGGTATATTGAAGCTAATCACTGCTGTGTCATCGTGGGAGTCTTTGCCAATGGTGGAAGGGCTGAAGGGTGATGTCAATGTAAAGCTGTACCTCACTGGGATGCAAGACTCACTTCAGAGGTGGTTGCTCTCTCTGTAACTGTCCCTGGCAGCTCCTAATATTAGGCCCATAGCTCCTCACGAGTACAAGGATTAAATCCTCCAGATGTGGGACAGAGCTCTGCCTTTGGAAACCCTTCCCACAGACATCGAGCATACCCTCACATGTGTAAGGGCAGAGCACAAAACTCACTGCTTCCATCAAGTCTTCCCTCACAACTAGGGTAGGAAAAATTGCTTGGTGATGTTTATTTTTGCAAGAGCAGTAAGGTCAGAACCCTTTTCAGAAAAAATAATGGAAAGAGTAGCATTTCTGGCCAAAATGCAATACTGACTTTTACCTAGAGACCGTTGATGGATTTGCTAGAGCCCTCAAGAGTCACTGCTGATTTGACAGCTGATTGATGGATTTGCTAGAGACTGTACTATCAACAGTGCCCTCAAGAGTCACTGCTGATTTGACAGCTGAAGTCGGACAGATTAAACCAGTTGTCCCCAGCTCGTGACTTTACAGAACTGCTCGTGAGATCCCCTGATGCTGTGCAAAGCTGCAAGAACTTAAGAGCAAGCACGAAGCACAACACTCTCCACCAGCGCCTGCTCAGCAGTACTGTTCCTGGAGCAGCAAAAGGTGAAGATCAGCCTCCAAGACCCAAGTATCTGAAGGTGTTTGTGCCCATGCTCTACACTGCAATATAGGAACTTGAAGTCTGCATTCTGTCTGCATCCCATCTGGCAGAGGCTGGAAGCAAAATGAGCAGTGAGCTCACATCTAACACGATGAGAGATTATTTAAGTGGTCCCCCAGAACAGCACTGAAGGGCTCTAGAGGGAGCAATAGGCTTGTAAGCTATGGCCCCTGGGAATGTTTGAGAGGAACCAAGGGGGGAAAAAATGAATCCCAAGTGACAACATGGTCACATGAAGCTCCTGTGTGCTGCTTTAGTCATCCCTGAGCAGTGTCATGACCAGACGGATCTGGGGGTAGGAAGGTAACGCTTAAAATATTAGTGGCTGCATGGGCAGATGCAAAGGGGAATGAGAACAGACACGCTTTAGGGAAGAGAGGCCACATCTTGAACCTATCACTCCATTTTAATCCACCTTTTTCTCAGGCAAAAAGAGCCATTGATGCCATTGATTCCATTGATGGAGGTTCATCCAAATGAGAACAGAAAAAAAAAGAAGCTAAAGCTTCAGAAGTTTGCCCAGAGTGGGGAGTTGGGGGAAGGGGGGACAAGGGAAGCCAACAGATGATGTGGCTGTAATTACTATCTTTTGCTTTTGGGATTTATTCTGATGATCACAGATGTGTCATTAGAGTTGGGGGTTTTTTGGTGTTGTGTTGTTTTTTTTTTTTTTTAAATTGTTACAGTAAATTATTTGATAAAAAGAAGAAGATAAAAGGGAAAGGAGCCAAGAATGTTTGTGCTGACAAGGACAAAAGGTATAGATGGAAAAATATGAAATGTAATACACAAATGCAATACAAATTATATTACAGACATTTCTATTATATTAGTAAGATACTTCCAGGTTCTAGTAAGAAAGATTATGATACTTTTTTTTTTTAATCCAGCTCCTACTTTTTAGTGCTTATGTACTTACTTTTATTAAACCATGCTAAATGATCAACTTTATACATCTTTACAATTTCTCACAACATCTTCCTGGGTATCTGCCAAAGCAAAGATGTCTACTGCATTTTAATAACATACCTGGCTGTATCTCTGGGCAGGATGTAATACACACACACTAGCATATTCATTCTCAAATATCAACTGTTATACACTGGGGCCAAATTTCGCCATTCTTATCACTTAAGCTGCTGAATACTCCAAATGTAATCAATAGGATGAGAAGGACCAACCTAATCTGACCTTTCATTAGTTAGCTGCTGCTCATCATACAAGTGAAATATTTTTGTAGGTCTTCAGGTTGCATGTCCAATTGCAAAAAACCTGCATAAGTCCAAATTCTGTGCTCAGATGGTGACTGTTTTCTCCTGCCCCCGGTGACAGTTTCACACTATCGGAATACACCTTTGCCTGTTACGTTTGGTCCACTGGCTATTTCATCTGAAGAGAGGTGCAGCTGAAGTAAGCGGCATCAAAAGAACATCGTTTGTTTACCATCAGCACCACAGATACCACTGAATTTAAATATGAGAAAAAAATGTTATTCACCTCGTCTGCTATGACGCTGTAAATGGTTTACAAACTCTGACCACCATAGACCAACGGTCCAAACAGATAAATGCCCACATGGGGAGATGTCAGCAAATCAGGGTGATTGCCCAGACAAATGCAAGAACTGCCCATGCAAATCAGTTGCATGGGCAACGGATCTGTTTGTGTATTTTTATATGGCTGTTTTGCGGCTGTAAGCATGTGTCAAGTTGGAGATTTGGGAAATACACCCACTTGCCTCCTGCCAAACCAGCCTGGGTCAGCATAAAGGTATACTTTTGAACATTTCTGTCGAGTGTCTCACTCCAGGAAGTTCTTATATCTGTGTTTACATAGCATCTACTTACCCAGAATGAAATCTCCATCGCATTAAATCAATAGGTGTTTTGTTCTGGATTTATATGGGGCAAAGTTGTCATGCAAATGGCCAAAAGTGGCCCTGCTGCAAAATTAGACCCAGCTATGAACTATTGAATTTGCTTTGCAATAAGTTGTAAAGCAACTTGCTCTTGTGGGAACCCGGCTGGTGCTGGCTTCTCCCCTTCCCTTTCCTTCCCAGCTCCCTGCAGCACTGCTGAGTGTTTAACCAAGACGTGCACGTCACTCTCTTTTCATCTGTTCTCCAAAGCTTATTGCCAGCTAACAA